ACCAGTGGGAGTAGAAAATTGAATCAGTGGAAAGAATAGTGCACCACTGTTGGTGTCAAAGGGAGTAACAGTGACCCATCATTGGTGTCAGTGGGAGGAGTAGTGCCCAATCATTGGTGTCAGTGGGAGGAATAGTGTCCCATCATTGGTGTCAGTGGGAGGAATAGTGCCCCATCACTGGTGTGAGTGGGAGGAATAGTGCCCCATCATTGGTGTCAGTGGGAGGAATAGTGCCCCATCATTGGTGTCAGTGGGAGGAACAGTGCCCCATCATTGGTGTCAGAGGAAGGAATAGTGCCCCATCATTGGAATCAGTGGGAGAATAGTGCCCCATCATTGGTGTCAGTGGGAGGAATAGTGCCCCATCATTGGTATCAGTGGGAGGAATAGTGCCCCATCATTGGTGTCAGTGGGAGGAATAGTGCCCCATCATTGGTGTCAGTGGGAGGAATAGTGCTTCACCATTGGTGTCAGTGGGAGGAATAGTGTCCCATCATTGGTGTCAGTGGGAGGAATAGTCCCCCATCATTGGTATCAGTGGGAGGAATAGTGCCCCATCATTGGTATCAGTGGGAGGAATAGTGCTCCATCATTGGTGTCAGTGGGAGGAATAGTACCCCATCATTGGTATCAGTGGGAGGAATAGTGCCCCATCGTTGGTGTCAGTGGGAGGAATAGCGCCCCATCATTAGTGTCAGTGGGAGGAATAGTGCCCCATTGTTGGTATCAGTGGGAAGCATAGTGTCAAATCATTGGTCCAGATGGAAGAATAGTGCCCCATCATTGGTGTCAGTGGGAGGAATAGTGCCCCATCATTGGTGTCAGTGGGAGGAATAGTGCCCCATCTTTGGTGTCAGTGGGAGGAATAGTGCCCCATCTTTGGTGTCAGTGTGGGGAATAGTGCCCCATCATTGGTGTCAGTGGGAGGAATAGTGCCCCATCATTGGTGTCAGTGGGAGGAATAGTGCCCCATCATTGGTGTCAGTGGGAGGAATAGTGCCCCATCATTGGTGTCAGTGTGAGGAATAGTGCCCCATCATTGGTGTCAGTGGGAGGAATAGTGCCCCATAATTGGTGTCAGTGGGAGGAATAGTGCTTCACCATTGGTGTCAGTGGGAGGAATAGTGTCCCATCATTGGTGTCAGTGGGAGGAATAGTGCCCCATCATTGGTATCAGTGGGAGGAATAGTGCCCCATCATTGGTATCAGTGGGAGGAATAGTGCTCCATCATTGGTGTCAGTGGGAGGAATAGTACCCCATCATTGGTATCAGTGGGAGGAATAGTGCCCCATTGTTGGTATCAGTGGGAAGCATAGTGTCAAATCATTGGTCCAGATGGAAGAATAGTGCCCCATCATTGGTGTCAGTGGGAGGAATAGTGTCCCATCATTGGTGTCAGTGGGAGGAATAGTGCCCCATCATTGGTGTCAGTGGGAGGAATAGTGCCCCATCTTTGGTGTCAGTGGGAGGAATAGTGCCCCATCTTTGGTGTCAGTGTGGGGAATAGTGCCCCATCATTGGTGTCAGTGGGAGGAATAGTGCCCCATCATTGGTGTCAGTGGGAGGAATAGTGCCCCATCATTGGTGTCAGTGGGAGGAATAGTGCCCCATCATTGGTGTCAGTGGGAGGAATCGTGCCCCATCATTGGTGTCAGTGGGAGGAATAGTGCCCCATCATTGGTGTCAGGGGGAGGAATAGTGCCCCATCATTGGTGTCAGTGGGAGGAATAGTGCCCCATCATTGGTGTCAGTGGGAGGAATAGTGCCCCATCATTGGTGTCAGTGGGAGGAATAGTGCCCCATCTTTGGTGTCAGTGGGAGGAATAGTGCCCCATCATTGGTGTCAGTGGGAGGAATAGTGTCCCATCATTGGTGTCAGTGGGAGGAATAGTGCCCCATCATTGGTGTCAGTGGGAGGAATAGTGCCCCATCATTGGTGTCAGTGGGAGGAATAGTGCTTTGTATCAGTGGAGGCATGGGGGGGGGGCTGATATAATCTCTCTCACTAGAGAGAAAAAGTAAAGCAATCCAGGCAGGAAGAGGCAGTATAACGATCGTTGTTTTGTTGGCCGAGTATAAATCTCACATGAACAGCAGACTCCCAACTTATTTACAGAGTTTATAAATCTGATTACAAAGCAGCCATTTTGGAGGAAAGAACTCCAAAACACATCGAACTCTCTGTCTGCGATTTTGGACATCATAAGGTGTCTCCCAGCGGGTTGTAAAAAACCAAAGAGCGTGTGATAGGATTCCGGCTTGTAGAAAATCCATATGAGATGGAAACAGGGAAAGCAGCGGTAAAACGGCGAGATCCCGGGACGGGGGCTGAGCGCAGATGCTCAACAAACGTTTGCAGAATCAAAACGCTAAAGTGCTTTTTACTGAACTTCAGACAATCTCGGCGGCACTAATGAACCAGCTGTCTTCAGACTAGAAAACCAACAAATGCAAAACTCGGCCGGAATACAGACTTCCACATGTAGACGATCGTTCACAGCTCTTCAGATGAGCCCAGAATTACTGCAGGTAACAAGGTGGTCACCATGTCCGGGTGTATGATGAGCGTCACCCGGGAACACTGCAATATACTGGAGAACATCACATGACCCAACTGGTTCACCAAGCTGGGGGCCAAAATACGACGGCCCACCGAGAGGGAGGGAAAAGTGGCCACAACTCCTTTATTAACTTACATGGGTCATTCACATTTCACCATAGTAACCCTTCCTCTATAGTAACCCTTCCTCTATAGTAAACCCTTCCTCTATAGTAACCCTTCCTCTATAGTAACCCTTCCTCCATAGTAACTCTTCCTCTATAGTAACCCTTCCTCTATAGTAACCCTTCCTCTATAGTAACCCTTCCTCTATAGTAACCCTTCCTCTATAGTAACTCCTCCTCTATAGTAACCCTTCCTCTATAGTAACCCTTTCTCTATAGTAACCCTTCCTCTATAGTAACTCTTCCTCCATAGTAACCCTTCCTCTATAGTAACCCTCCCTCTATAGTAACCCTTCCTCCATAGTAACCCTTCCTCCATAGTAACCCTTCCTCCATAGTAACCCTTCCTCCATAGTAACTCTTCCTCTATAGTAACCCTTCCTCTATAGTAACCCTTCCTCTATAGTAACTCCTCCTCTATAGTAACCCTTCCTCTATAGTAACCCTTCCTCTATAGTAACTCTCCCTCTATAGTAACTCTTCCTCCATAGTAACCCTTCCTCCATAGTAACTCTTCCTCTATAGTAACTCTTCCTCTATAGTAACCCTTCCTCTATAGTAACTCTTCCTCTATAGTAATCCTTCCTCTATAGTAACCCTTCCTCTATAGTAACTCTTCCTCTATAGTAAACTCTTCTTCTATAGTAACTCTTCCTCTACAGTAACTCTTCCTCCACAGTAGCTCTCTCTCCATAGTAACCCTTCCTCCATAGTAACTCTTCCTCTATGGTAACCCTTCCTCTATAGTAACCCTTCCTCTATAGTAACTCTTCCTCCATAGTAACCCTTCCTCCATAGTAACTCTCCCTCCATAGTACCTCTCTCTCCATAGTAACTCTCCCTCTATAGTAACCCTTCCTCCATGGTAACCCTTCCTTCATGGTAACCCTTCCTCCATGGTAACTCTTCCTCTATAGTAACCCTTCCTCTATAGTAACCCTTCCTCCATAGTAACCCTTCCTCCATAGTAACCCTTCCTCCATAGTAACCCTTCCTCCATAGTAACCCTTCCTCTATAGTAACCTTTCCTCTATAGTAACCCTTCCTCTATAGTAACCTTTCCTCTATAGTAACCCTTCCTCTATAGTAACTCTTCCTCTGTAGTAACTCTTCCTCTATAGTAACTCCTCCTCTATAGTAACCCTTCCTCCATAGTAACCCTCCCTCTATAGTAACCTTTCCTCTATAGTAACCTTTCCTCTGTAGTAACCCTTCCTCCATAGTAACTCTTCCTCTATAGTAATCCTTCCTCTATAGTAACCCTTCCTCTATAGTAACTCTCCCTCTATAGTAACCCTTCCTCTATAGTAACTCTTCCTCCATAGTAACCCTTCCTCTATAGTAACTCTTCCTCTATAGTAACTCTTCCTCTATAGTAACTCTCCCTCTATAGTAACCCTTCCTCTATAGTAACTCTTCCTCTATAGTAACTCTTCCTCTATAGTAACCCTTCCTCTATAGTAACTCTCCCTCTATAGTAACTCTCCCTCTATAGTAACTCCTCCTCTATAGGAAGTGAAAGGGTGTTGGATTCCTCATCCCCCTTTGCATGCTGTGATTCCACCAGCTGGACACCAAGCTACAAGACACAGTTGTGACTTAAACTGTTCCTGAGCCCCCCGCAGTACAATCAGTCTGTAGATGCAGTAAAGCATGCTTGTTATACTCTCTGTGGGACCTAAGGGGTTAACCCTCTGCATTGTGTAAAAACACTGTTTGATCCTGTCTCTTCTGATCCTCCCCTTCTTCTACTGTCCCCAATCCATCTGCTGAAAGAACAAAGCTCTAGCAGTCACTTTGTACATGCTTAGTTTAGTGCGTATTGCTAGAGTTTTTCTTTAGGAGAGTGCACATGATCAGCACAGGGCCAATCAGCACTGTCCAGACAGAGGGTCAGGGATCCTGCATCCTGCAGGGGTGTCAAACTGACAGCTCTCAAGCTGTTGCAGAACTACAAGTCCCATCATGCCATCATACCTGTGGGAGTCTTGCTTGCAGTGCCTCAGGGGATTTGTAGTTCCACAACAGCTGGAGGGCCGCCATTTTGACACCTGTGTGCTACAGCAAAATGAAAACTCCTCCTAGAAGCTTTAACATGTGCTCTGCTGGACACTGATAGAAGTCACAAGACTGCTATATACTGCTGATGAGAAAAGTGAATGCGGGGTCCTGGGAGAGCGGATATAGTGAATGCGGGGTCCGGGGAGAGCGGATATAGTGAATGCGGGGTCCGGGGGGAGAGCGGATACAGTGAATGCGGGGTCCGTGGAGAGCGGATATAGGGAATGCGGGGTCCGGGGAGAGCGGATGTAGTGAATGCGGGGTCCGGGGAGAGCGGATGTAGTGAATGCGGGGTCCGGGGAGAGCGGATGTAGTGAATGCGGGGTCCGGGGAGAGCGGATGTAGTGAATGCGGGGTCCGGGGAGAGCGGATGTAGTGAATGCGGGGTCCGGGGAGAGCGGATACAGTGAATGCGGGGTCCGGGGAGAGCGGATGTAGTGAATGCGGGGTCCGGGGAGAGCGGATATAGTGAATGCGGGGTCCGGGGAGAGAGCGGATATAGTGAATGCGGGGTCCGGGGAGAGCGGATGTAGTGAATGCGGGGTCCGGGGAGAGCGGATGTAGTGAATGCGGGGTCCGGGGAGAGCGGATGTAGTGAATGCGGGGTCCGGGGAGAGCGGATATAGTGAATGCGGGGTCCGGGGAGAGCGGATATAGTGAATGCGGGGTCCGGGGAGAGCGGATATAGTGAATGCGGGGTCTGGGGAGAGCGGATATAGTGAGTGCGGGGTCCGGGGAGAGCGGATACAGTGAGTGCGGGGTCCGGGGAGAGCGGATATAGGGAATGCGGGGTCCGGGGAGAGCGGATATAGTGAATGCGGGGTCCGGGGAGAGCGGTTTTAGTGGGGGGGGGGGGGCAGGCATTTTAGTGGGGGGGGGAGGCATTTTAGTGGAGTGGGGGGGGGCAAGCATTTTAGTGGGGGGGGGGCAAGCATTTTAGTGGGGGGGCAAGCATTTTAGTGGGGGGGGGGTGCAGGCATTTTAGTGGGGGGGGGCAGGCATTTGACGCAGTGAAAGGGTTAAATGATCATTTAGATCTAGGGTTTATATGTAAAGCACGTTCACTCACAGGACTCCCTGCTCCCTCACTAGTCAGCACAGTCCTCAGCTATGGACCCTGCATTGGACTTGATGATGTCAGAGAAGCTATGACCTACAGATGGCAGGGTAGAAGAGACTGTGGAGATCGATCTTGCAATGCAGAGCGAACCTGTAGGATCGGCAGCCCGGATAAGTAACAAAGGCTTCTTGTGGCCCCCCAGACCTGAACAGGCATGAATTCCTTGTGGTGCAAGGCCGCCCCATGACTGGGAAGTATTGTTACTTTCCTTGTTCAGCTGTAATTATAAATCTCCTATTTGCGGGGCCGGCGATGCTGCAGACTCTGTAGTGATTCGATGATTCGATGATCCGATGCAGAGCTGTGTGGGAAGTTGTGGTTCTTGAAGTCATTTTGTTAATAAAATCAGCAACACATCATTATCACAGCAGCGGATGACAGTCACACACCACAAATTATTTCAAATTATTTCATTGCAGACAAGTCCTCAGTGGGATTGTACAATTACCGATATGACACTTTCTGAGGGGAGATGACAGCTTAGCAGTGATATTATTTACCAAATGTAACAAAGTAACGTGACATGCCGGATCTGGAATAATTGGAAGTACTTGTCCATGCAGTATTAATGAATGTGTTGCTCAGAAACGACTTCATTTCAGATGTAAAGCTTCATTAAAGAAGAAGCAGATAATATCACCTAAAGCGATAGAAAGTCATCTCCTTAAAGTTTAAAATCCATTGGGTGTAAAGCTTCGACCTCCACTGGTCTTCAATTGATGTTAGAAATACCGATTTCTACCGGCCTTCAAATGACCCCAATTAATTGTGACCTTTTCCTGAACTTTAGTGAGTTCTTTAAGCATCATTGACCCCTAGGGGCTTTTAACTGCATTTTGTACACTTTATGGCCAAAAGACCCTCCTTCCAATGATTGAGGTAAGGTGTTCCCAGTGAAGGCGTACAGCATACAAAGACATTGTGAACAATCCCAACCTTGTGGTAACAGTCTGGTGACAACCATTTTCTGTTCCTGCATGAGCCAGCTCCATAAAGACATGGTTTGAACAGTTTGGTGTGAAGGAACTCGAGTGTCCTGCACAGAGCCCTGACCTCAACCCTACTGAACACCTTTGAGATGAATTAGAATGATGATTGTGAACCAGGTCTTCTCATCCAATATCCGTACCTGACTTCAACCCTACTGAACACCTTTGAGATGAATTAGAATGATGATTGTGAACCAGGTCTTCTCATCCAACATCAGTACCTGGCCTCAACCCAACTGAACACCTTTAGGATAAATTGGAACACTGATCATGGTCCAGGTCCTCTCACACAACATCAGTACCTGACCTCACAAATGCTCTTTTTGGATAGTAGGGGATTCTAGCCTTTCCCTGCATTTCCAGCCTCAGGGCAATGGTCTCAGAAAGGTCCTTTTGAGTTCCAGCATGACTGAACACAAAACCAGCCCCATAAAGACATAGATTGACCAGTTTGGTGTGGAGGAACTTGAATGTCCTGTGCAGAGCCCTGACCTAAACACCTTTTAGATGAATTAGAATGATGATTGTGAACCAGGTCTTCTCATCCAACATCAGTACTTGGCCTCAACCCTACTGAACACCTTTGAGATGAATTAGAATGATGATTGTGAACCAGGTCTTCTCATCCAATATCCGTACCTGACTTCAACCCTACTGAACACCTTTGAGATGAATTAGAATGATGATTGTGAACCAGGTCTTCTCATCCAACATCAGTACTTGGCCTCAACCCTACTGAACACCTTTGAGATGAATTAGAATGATGATTGTGAACCAGGTCTTCTCATCCAATATCCGTACCTGACTTCAACCCTACTGAACACCTTTGAGATGAATTAGAATGATGATTGTGAACCAGGTCTTCTCATCCAACATCAGTATCTAGCCTCAACACTACTGAACACCTTCTGGATAAATTGGAACACTGATCATGGGTCAGGTCTTTTCACACAACATCAGTACCTGACCTTACAAATGCTCTTTTTGGATAGTAGGGGATTCTAGCCTTTCCCTGCATTTCCAGTCTCAGGGCAATGGTCTCAAAAAGGTCCTTTTGAGTTCCAGCATGACTGAACACAAAACCAGCTCCATAAAGACATAGTTTGACCAGTTTGGTGTAGAGGAACTTGAATGTCCTGTGCAGAGCCCTGACCTCAACCCTACTGAACACCTTTGAGATGAATTAAAATGATGATTGTGAACCAGGTCTTCTCATCCAACATCAGTACCTGGCCTCAACCCTACTGTCAGGGATCGCGGCTCCAAGTTCAGCGACCGCGGCCCCTCTCCCAGCGCATGCGCACTGGCGGCAGATCTCGCCGGGACACAGGCACTAGGTCCCGGCGAGCCGCGGCTGACAGGACGCCGTGTATGCACAGTAGGAGCCCGCGGGCGCGCCTCAGGCGTCCAATGACAGCCGGGGGCGCGTCCTGGCCGGCCAATGACAGTGCAGGGCGCACTATTTAAAGATGCCCTGCACTGTCACAGATTGCCGCAAGGTCTATCTGTGATCCTGAGTTCCTGTACCTGTTTAAGTGACCCTGATTGACCCTGACTACGCTGCCTCCTCTTGTGATTTGACCTGGATTGCCCTGACTACGCTGCCTTCTCCTGTGATTTGACCCGGATTGCCCTGACTACTCTGCCTTCTCCCATTCTGACCCCCGGCTTGTCTGACCATTCTGCGGACTGACTTACCCTGCTGACCCTGCGTGTGACCTGACTACTCTTCGCCTGCCGATTCGGTACCCCGCTTACCCCCACGGGACCACGGCCCGTGACCATCCTGCTAGGTCCGGCCATCCTCTTCACATCTGGCTCTCCCAGTACCTGCATACATCCCCGGAGGCTTCCTCCGCCACTGGTGGGCCTGCTCGGAGGTCGTGACCTGGCCCGGGTCTGTTACAAGTCCATCCCCACCATCAGGGGCCCTGGTGAAAGCACAGACCGGGCTTAGACTCCACGCTCTGGGTAGGTCTGTCAGTTGGCAGCCTGAGGCACCACCTGGCGGATCCTAACACCTACTGAGCACCTTTTGGATAAATTGGAACACTGATCATGGTCCAGGTCTTCTCACACAACATCAGTACCTGATGTCAGGGAGCCGGGTATGACCAGAGATGTGTGGACTGACACAGGGAAATGCAGGCTTCAAGTATGGTGTAAAACAATATAATTTATTAAAGACTATACAGTACATCCAAACACACAGTGCAAAAACCAAACCTCCAACAGATCACAATATGTGCGGGAACACAAGAGTAGTCAGGCAGGCCGGGTCGGTAACTATCGGGCAGACAAGGTACAAAGGAGCAGGCAGGAGAGTGGTCAGGAATAACCGGGGTCAGTGCAGGCAGAGTTCTAGCAGAGTCAAGATCAGGCAGGAATATCAGGCAGGAAGCAAACAGGATGCAGGTACAGGGGCTCATGGGAACAAACACCAAGGCACTGATTGCAGGCCTGGTCCTGCTTAAATACACCTCCTGCAATCAGCCTCAGGTGATGGCTTGACTGCAGGAGTGAGATTCTGGCTGCTGAGAGCACCTGCTGGCCAGCACTGGTACTGCAGCCCACAAGGCAGGTGAGCCCCAGCACCACCTATGGTGAGTCCATTCCTGACACCTGACCTCACAAATGCTCTTTTGGATAGTAGGGGATTCTAGCCTTTCCCTGAATTCCCAGCCTCAAAGCAATGGTCTGAGAAAGGTCCTTTAAGTTCCAGCATGATTGAACACAAAACCAGCTCCATAAAGACATAGTTTGACCAGTTTGGTGTGGAGGAACCTGAATGTCCTGTGCAGAACCCTGACCTCAACCCTACTGAACACCTTTGAGATGAATTAGAATGATGATTGTAAACCAGGTCTTCTCCTCCAACATCAGTATCTAGCCTCAACACTACTGAACACCTTTTGGATAAATTGGAACACTGATCATGGGCCAGGTCTTCTCACACAACATCAGTACCTGACCTCACAAATGCTCTTTTTGGATAGTAGGGGATTCTAGCCATTACCTGCATTTCCAGCCTCAAGGCAATGGTCTCGGAAAGGTCCTTTTAAATTCCAGCATGACTGAGCACAAAACCAGCTCCATAAAGACATAGTTTGACCAGTTTGCTGTGGAGGAACTTGAATGTTCTGCGCAGAGCCCTGACCTCAACCCTACTGAACACCTTTGGGATTAATTGGAATGTCAACTGTGAGCCAGGTCTTCTCATCCAACATCAGTAGCTGACCTCATAAATGTTCTTTTGGATGACCAGGGTTCTAGTTCTCCCCTGCAATTCCAGCCTTGTTGGCAACAGTCTTGAAAGGTCCTTTTCAGTTCCAGTATGCCTGCACACATACCCAGCTTCATAAAGACATGGTTTGACCAGTTTGGTGTGGAGGAACTTGAGTAAACTGCACAGACCTCAACGCTACTGAACACCTTTGGAATGAATTGGAACCCCCACTGTGAACCAGGTCTTCTCATTCAACACCAGTACCTGACCTCACAAATGTTCTTTTGGATGACAGGAGTTTAAGCCCTCCCTGGGTTTCAGCCTTGTAGTGACAATCTTGGAAATGTCCTTTTCTGTTCCAGCATGACTGTGTACAAAATCAGCTTCTCAAAGTCATGACTTGACCAGTTTGGTGTGAAGGAACTCACATGTCCTGCACAGAGCCCTGACCTCAACCCTACAGAACACCTTTGGAATGAATTGGAACCTCCACTGAGAGCCAGGTCTTCTCATCCAACATCAGTACTGGACCTTACAAATTTTCATTTGGGAGACAAGTTCTACCCTTCCCCTGCACTTCCAGCCTTGAGGTGACAGTCTTGGAAATGTCCTTTTTTTCCAGCATAACCGTGTACAAAGTCAGCTTCAAAAAGAAATGGTTTGACCAGTTTGGTGTGAAGTGTC